GTCACACAACAAAATACTAACGGTTAAGATATCCGCTCCAGACTTTGCCAAAGAAATGGCAAATTCAGCGAATCTTATGTCATAACATATGCCGAGACCTATATTGCCGACGGGTGTCGGGACGGGAGGCACCACTCGGTCGCCGGCCGTCGAGAATTCAGACTCAACGAGTCGGACGACTCCCGGAATTTCCAGATTAAATAAATGTACTTTTCTATAGACAGACACAACGGATCCCTTGTTATCGATAATCAAGTGAGCGTTTAATGCCTTTCCGTCGTCTGAATGAGTTTTCTTCTCGTGAAGACCTCCTAACGAGAGCCAAACGTTGGCCTCTTTTGCTAACTCTTTATATCTGGTGATGAGTGGGCCGTCGATGGGCTCAGTGTTGGCCATTATCTGCTTCTGTGTCCCGCAGATCATGTCAAAGCATTCCGGGAGGAAAACCAGTTCACAGCCCAGACTCGACGCCTTGCGGATCAGCTTTTGAGCGGCGGTAAAGTTGCGCTCTTTGTCTTCATTGCAATTCAATTGACAGACGCCTATCAGAGCAGTGCTGCCATTTTGGGAACCGCTGTCTTCAGAGGACATAGTGGTGGCTAATTGTCTCCTATAGATCACTGAATCAAATGATGTCAAATGTAAACAACTTTTGCGATAAGTCTTTGATAATACACTCAATAAACGATTCATTCATTCACTGATATGTCGTTTACTTAATGTTTAAATCAAACCAAAACCCAAACTATAACTCAATTTTTAAAATGAATGCAATTTTTAAGAGAAAAAAGTTAATCAAAAGTCATTTAATTTCACAAATTGTTTACAAAATATACAAACAATTCACAAATGAAGTGACTTTTGAGGGGTTGTTATGATTGTTGAGTGAATGTTATGTTTTGATAATCACATCAAATATACGGCCTTTTAATTGACATTTTATGTCCTAAAACACGATTACAATCATATGATTGGCTCTCAATTGACTGTCATTTGCTATTAATTGTCAAATTCAACAACAATTCAATCAAAATGTTTGCTAAAACACAAGAGTAAGTGATTTATACTTTGAATGTCATTATAATGAATATATACTTACGTTTAAATTAATAATATTTTTAAAACAATATTTTATATACAGTTTATATAGAGTTAACTCATATGTGAACACAATTTACTTGATTTACTCTTTTAGACGATTCAATGAATATTTGTTAATTTGATTACAAATTCACTACAAATGATACAAATATGAGTCATATGTGATTATGATGCATGATACATGTAACAGTAACTTATCATTATCAATAAATCACCCAACATTATATATTTGTAATATTGTATATTTAGAATCTAAAGTTTAGATTCTAAACATATTTTTAATGACCATGCATGTTTATGATGACAATAAGTTTTGATGTTACAAAACACATTATGATTTGTCCATACTCACTTCATATTCATGACAATCTGCATAGTTATGGTTAAGATTACGTTTTTAATAAAAACCTTGTTTATTCATCTCCTCATTCCTATTACTGTAAAACAATTAGAAAAGTAATTATAATTTTGTATTATCTCAACAATTATTGTATAATAATTAGAATAACAATTACTTTTATCACAATATACTTCTTCACGATTAATAACATACTTTTAATGGTTAGACTAGAAATGATTTGTATGGGAATTAAGGGTAAAATTTTTATTGTATTATATTATTTATTATGGCAATTGTCAATTGGTTAATAAATTATAATATTACTTTATTATAATTTATAATAGTATCATGGTAGAATATGTTGTGTGTTATCATGGTACAGTATAATAGTATTATAAAATTATAGTAGATTGGAAATTCGTAACTAATTTAGCAACACTAATTATATATTCTAAATATTTTATCTCGAATAAAAATATTTTAAAAATGTGCATGCTAGAATTGTTTGCGCAATAATTAGTGTTTATTTTTCCTACAGTAGATGTAAATATATTGACGGGAATTATCGGTAAATTTATTTATAATTTGCTTATAATTTTAAAAATATGAAAATTATAATTGTTTTGGAGGCAAAAACCTATGAATTATATGTTTGAATAGAATTAAGTTATAATCCTTTTAAGAACTCCTTTGAGTGCAAACATTATTAATCTTTTTTACTTTTGATTAAATCCTGTTTTCAGACAATTATTTGTATTAAAGAATGTATTTTTGAAAAGTTTGTATTCTTTGTGAATCTTGTTTTGAGCGGTTGTTTGACCTGAGGTTAGGTTTAATGTCTTGAACGCAATATGAGTGCAAAAGTCAAAATACAGTGAAAGTGTTTGCGCCCCTTAAGCGCATCGATCACATTCACCATCACATTCACGGCTTATTATATGCAAACTTTGATTTCAATTCAATTTCTGTTGATTTAATGAATACTTTAAGAAATGCTGAAGAAATAAAAATAAAAATCTATGCGAAGATTGATAGCATTGCGGTGTTTAAGGTATAGGGCATTGAATTATGAGGTCTGTGAGACTCAATGGGTTTGGAGTACAAACCTATCACTCCAGTCATTACACTCTCGACAACAACCCTTTCTATCAACACTTTATTCTCGATTCTCACTAAACATAGGATTTGCAGATTTATTCACTTCAATGTATTGAGGCGTTGATTGTAATCATAATAATATGGGATACTGTAGTGACTACAGTGTAGTGGACGCCAAACAATGTTTTCTCTTCACAACTGATTCCGATTCACGAACTCTAATAGAATTTTGAACTTTTTAAATATATTTACTGAATATGAAAATAATGTATAATTTTAGTGTTTTTATATAACTCTTGTTATAAATTATAAAATATTTTGATTTACAGGTTAAGTGAAGCGATTGTATTGATTAATGGCATAGATTTGGCAAAATTTTCCAAATTTGTTTTAAAAATTGTTGAAAAAGTTGATCAAAACTATACAGAAATATTCTCCGACGAAGAAGAGAATAAACTGAAATCTATATTATCTGTAACTGACACACAAAATGTGAAACTTGTTATAAAATCAGTTCATTATATACTCAAACAAATTGTTTACAATTTAATGAAACCGCGAACTGTTGTCAAGGAATTGACTGAAATTGGATTAGAAATGGAGAAAACTGTAGTTTTTGGCGAGATTTGCAACAATTATACCCCAAATCTGATCGAGAAATTGAAAGACAAGTCGTTTGACATATCAAACCATCGCTTGGCGGACATCAATTGGAAACTTAAAATGTTGACAAATCAAAACAGTTGTGATAATAAAGATGCCATTCCTTTGGCACAAATTGATTTAATTATTAAAGGCGGTCAACAGTCAAATCAAGTCGTTTCCATTGACTTCGATCGACAAGAATTGTGGAATCTATACGAAAGTCTCGAAACTATTCAATCACAACTCGATTCACTTCATAAATAACTTACTGTATAACTGTTATGTATTGTATTTTATTGTATGGTTTTCAATATTAACGTAAAAATTCATTTATTTATGAAATAAAATAAATCTAATTTAATATTAAATTTGTTGATATTTAAAGTTTTGTTTAAAAACAACGAAGAAATTGGTTGAAAATATTTTAATAAATAAACGATATTTATATCAAAATCCAGTTTTGATTATAAAT